GTCCTTTCTAAAGGTGAGTCCAAGTCCAGAAGTGCATAATATACCAGAATTGGGCGGAAAACTAAACTTATTACCCACAAGCTATGTTGCCTCTATCCTTCTAAAGTTGGCAATAGGGACAACACCCCTTCACTCTCTCTCTCTCTCGCCCTAGAGACTATATATAATGACGCATACAATAAAAGCGTGTTTTCTTTAATATTTCGAATGGATGCGACCACGGTTCCAGAAAAATGAAGAGTAGAGATGTAGCGTAGCAGTAAAAACCGAAACATCCACCAATAGAAGTATTAAGAAATTATTTCTTATCCGCCAAGAAAGCCAGAGAAAAGCTTTTTGTTAGAAAGTACTCTCTAGAAAAAAAGTAGTAAAGTGAAGGGGCAGGCTGGATACACAGAGCAAAGAGGGGGAGGGCTTCCTTGTCGAAATTCGATGATTCCACCGGTTGGGAAATAGAGGCGCAAATTATTCCGTCCTGCTTCCTGAAGCTGCGTCCGTAGCAGATGCAAGGTCTAGACAGCCTCTGTTGCCACATTGGGTATGTCGAGGCGTTTGCCGCGACGAACGACCGTCAGAGAGAGGGATTCGTTCTTGTCCACGGCGGCAGAAACCTCCGCGGCGTTGGTGATCTGCTTTCCATCAATGGCCACGATGATGTCACCCGGCAACAGACCAGCTCTGAGTAAAGAAGAGAAGTCAGCCATTCAGTCAGACATATATGCAGATTTCGAATGAATTAAGACGTTCACGTTACAAGTATGGTCGAGGAAGAAGAGTTCCCGAGCACCGGACCAGTTTGTTTATTTGTCTTAAGATTCAGAACTGAGATTAGTTGTCCTGAGCTTTCGAACTCTTGCAGAAGTCCATCATCAGAGATAAGAAACAGCAACAAAAGGGGGTTATAGTAGTAGGTGTCCACCAATCAGCTGTCAGGGGTCGTAAGGGGTAGGACACAACGATGAGAAAACAGGGGAGGGAGGCAACTATAAGAGTTCGAAAGCTCAGGACAATAAACAAATTGATCCGGTGCTCCACAAACCTTCTTCCTTATCCATTTGTAGATCTGTTCAAGCGTCCACAAGTTGAGCAGGTGTGGAGAGAGGGTTGGCGAGCCCCGCATAACACGCCCGACATTCGAACAAAGTCCACCCTGTACTCCACAGCAGGGTAGTGCATTGACGATGACTGGGAGTGCCACAAAGGCCGCATAGATAAGGAGCCATTGCAGTCTGACTCTCAATACAGCAGTCGGCCACTGCATACAGACAAACATTGAGCTGACCGCGCGGTGCGGTGCGGTGCGGTCAGTTGGTAACCTTCCAAACCATAGATTATAGCCCACCGCCCAACATTCACAACACGGGCGAGCCAGGTACCAATCGATTACACTACAGACTACTACTTCTAATAATACTTTCCACGGCGCGCGCGCACCAATGATTCAGCCAATCAGAAGGACACCACCTACTCGCCGTAGTATTACTTCGGTTTACACGGGAGCCGCAGTCCAATCAGAAGACACAAAATGGTGACGGTATATGTGACCCCAATTACACTAGTTTGTGACCTGCCTAGGTAACAAACTGAGACCACAACGATAAAGCGACGAACACTGGCAGTTACCATAGTTTCAATGTACTGCAGAGATGGTGCCGGTTGATGCATGATCGTTGTTTTGTCGGTCTACGACCAGTCAAAATATGGTATCCACGGGGGAGCCACGCCAGTAGCATACCCTTTCAACAGACCAAACTAGCTCGTCTACTCTGCAACGTAATAGCTGTGACACCTGGGTTCACGTACAGTGTCCACAACTATCATTAGGCTTTGATGTGTACCAAAACACATTTGGACTCAGTCAACTTGCCCGATGTCTGGCTAAATTTAATTCACTGTCAGCGACGGTTGCATTCCCAAGAGCAACATCAATTGACGAGTGAGTTCCATAAGAGAGCAGTGAGTGCTCATCAACGAGTGTCAATATCTCCCGATCTAAACCGCCAGGACAAATGAGCTGGTGAGTCAATGGTGAGAACGAGCTCGAGTGATGTTTCACTTGGGGTTGAATATGACTGGCCGATGACGGCTAGTGCGCCAGAATGGTAATTTCAGTCCCCATTGTCTTTACCGGCAATAAAGACAGTTTAAACAATCAGATGTCCCGGTTAGACTGTCGATTTCGACGATATCCACCGTATGGTCCACAATAGGGTAGTACAGGGACGGCGACTTGTGCGGCATCTACCGCACTCTATTTTCCACTCCCCAACCTGGGCTTGGCATCAAGACACAGGTAGAAAAACC